AAATAATATAAAAATAGAATCAAGGTACGTAAAATGTATACTTAACATTTAGATACACGATTAAAATTAAGTATGTAATCCTGAACGACATTACTACACTTGTAAGTTAAATATTTTTTTTTAAATACTTCAAGCTATACTCATGATTATGAGTTTTTGTCATAGTCATACATTAAAATTTTTAACACACGTATTCTGTTCGAGGCGTGCGTCCGACACGCAGAAAACAGCTACCAATGAAACATTTCGTTTAAAAACACTTATTTTCTATGCCAATCGACCGTGTCAGTTTGTGATTGGATTTTTAAATATATCTCGCTTAATGTACAGGTAATGTCTACTATGACAAATCCTAAAGTATTTATACGACAGCTGTAAAAAGATAGTAATGTTGTGTATGTTTTATGTTTTTTTTTTTAAAGAGTAACGAATGGAGTTTCTAGCTCGTTCTTCTCCACTCGAATCGACATTTTGGAACGAGCGCCTAGCTTCACTGACGGACAGACTGACAGACTATTATATATTTCATATTTGTTGACGTTTCAAAAGTACCAAATTATGGTTTAATTGAAATAAATGCTTTTGAGTTTGAGTTTTAGTGTGTGTAGTAAAAGAAATAGTTTCAAAAATAAAACCATTGATAGCTAATAACGAAATTTATTTACAGGTTAAAATATCATATAACTATCACTTATAACATTTTTTGAAAATAGCTATCATAATCACCGTTTTTAATATACAAAATCTATGGTTACGTGGGTACACTCATTACCTTTACAAAATTTACAAACATTCGACGTTATACTTAACAATAAAAGAATGCTTAAAAATCTAAAGTGTTGGATATAAAAATTATGGAATCTTTTTAAAGTTTTATTTTTTTATTTTAAAGTCATAGATTAATAATAAAAAGGTGAGACATAGTGATGGGACACGTGTTATCAATATCGATATTTTGTAACTTTGTCACCGCACTACGGCTTACCTAATACAGTAATGACCTAAAAATTCAGACAATAGTATTCTTAAAAATATACTCTTCAAATGTCCCTAACTAGTCTATAAACAAAACAATTTCCATTATTTATTTTGGGGCGTCGAAGTTTATTTGCATTCGCCAATAAAGCCAAGTTAATAAAAATGCCATGTATTTATGGATAAAACTTATATCATGGACTAAGGCGGATTTTGTTAACGTATTATTGCAATACGATATTTCGGAAGACTGTAGTTTATTTATTTATGTATTTAGCTAATCTTTCTTCAATGTCTTCAATGGAATTTCGACTTTATTACACATATTTTCAGTTTAAAGTCCATTGAAGAAACTTGATAATAATTTGCGATAGCAGTGTTACCTTTGTTTACCCTACGTATTTAGTTAACAAGGAAGACTATTCTCTTACTATTATCTTTACTTCACGTTCATGAGCTTAGAACCCTAAAGCTAAAAGCGTTAAAGACTATTTTTCAATACATAACTCCGGAATTCTGTTCGAGTCTTTCTAAAAAATGGCATTATTGGCGTATGCAAATAATAACCTTATTACAATAAAACACGTAGCAACAATAATAATATTTAGAGAGCTACCTAACCAAACATGGAAATTCCTTACGCGAAAATTTTATATCAGTCAATATGAAACAAACTTATACATATTTTTATTTATTTATTCAACACCGTTATCAACAATATTCGTATTTACTTAAGGACTATATTTGCTTGAACGATTTTTTTATCTTGATAATGATGATATTCAAAATTTCCAATGCAAATATAAACCTTAAACAAATACCCACAAAGTGTATTTTGAAATAACATTACGATAGTAAAAATACACTATGATTGGACGAAAAATCGAATATAAGGGGAAATATTCACTTTACAATATATCTCGAACACAATAAGTTGAAAAAGAAACAGTTACTTTTCATTATACTGGAGTCCGAACTTATCTTGGAAAAACGTCGTAAAATAAGTCAAATGATGATTGCAATCTCATCTTCAATATCACGTAATAAGGTCTGATATTGAAAGAAGAATGAAAACAACTCCAGATGAATAAAATGTGAAAACTAGTGTATTAAAATAGTTATTTCTTACGCCCGAATACTGAAAGGCTATTCAGTTTTTAGTTGCACTTAAATATCGTGCTATCTCTATCATTTCACAAAGAATTTGTAGCGACAGAACTATAATTAAGCGCGACTTAAAACCTTTCCGTATTCGAGTGTTAGACTCCCACACTAATGTTAAAACATGTACAAACATAGAGTATAAAATTAATAACAATAATTATTGTGATTTACGAAAAAAAATTAACATTTTAACAGTAATATGGGAGCTTTATTTAACTCACTGTTTTGATGGAGTGAGCGAGACAGAGTGCCTAGTACAAGTTGGTTTTACGTTAACGCAATCAACATATTACTGCGTTCAGCCTTCTGATTGGTTAACTTCCAACAACCAATCAGGGGCTTACTCTTGAATCCAGTTCCGATCAATCGATATTGATACAGTGACGTTTCGTACTCTTGAATTGCTACACTAGCGCCACATTGCATCCGTAGTGTGGATATTAAATAAACTACATAGTATTGAGTTTGGCTTTATATTCCGTACTCTGAATGCTATTTTAACAGCTACGATATACAACTCCATTGTATTGCGTTGACATTGAATAGTTATTGAGATTTTATGGGTTGGATTAAAATTGATATTGAAATTGGTTTCAAGAGTAAGCGCCTTGTACGTCGAACGTCATCAACATGTCGTGCTCGTTAACCTAAAACAAATTCGCTCTAGACACTGACCACAAGAACCATCTCTATTACACACATATCCATATAAAAACCTTTTTTATAGTTCTTGTTATAAGCTGTCTTGCTCTCCCATTTTGAACAGTAAGTCATAGTCTATAGGTACTATTATTACAAAACCGATTATTGTACAGAATGGTCAAAAATATCGATTAACGTTACCCTATACGAAATTACTTATGTATGAATCGTACGATCGTATGATAAGACTTTGGTCGTTTTTTAAAATTCAGATGATTCCGAAACTTAAGAAAATTGATAAAGAACGTACAAACAACATCAATATTCCTAATAATATGATGTTAACTAATATAATAATTATAATTATTAACAAATATAATAAAAACGGTTAAAAGATTAAATCAAAAGTAATGCCAGATTTCATTATAGGTTTCAGAATGAAAAAACGCATTAACTGATCAATCCCCAAGCGGTCACCGGTGACCACTCTCCTCTAACTCCATTATAGACCTTATTTCCGATGTTTAGAGACTACTTTTGTATGAACAAATTTTGGGGCTTTATATCAAGTGATTAAGTACTTAAAAAAGAATATTCGGACATCCGAAAGCGGGCAAGCGACCAAGTCTAGTAAACTTACTGACTCACACGCAACGTGCATACAATTTTGAATCATTATTCATCAAATAATAACGGTCAACTTTCGATTGTCACAGAATGTTTAGACATGAAAGTATGACCATTATCTTGAAGTAATAAGGGTTATTTTCGCTTGTCGAGTCAGCTGTATACATATAAATAAGTAATATCGTATAGGGTAAGTAATATAATGAAGTTTCACCGGTACTGAGAAGTCTGCGGCCGACGACAGTGGCTGGCGATAGTTTTGAAGCACTCGTCACATACTCGTACTGGTTTCAATTGCCCGTAGCGTGGTAGAGGAATTGAATTTGAACTGCATGATGCGCAGAATACTTTGCCTGGAAGGATAATTGTTGATTTTAGACTTTATACGTATGTGAGTTAAGGTTTGTTATTGGTAGACGTGTACACTTGTACAATAATGAGGTTGTTGCTATTGTTGGTTAATTAACTGCTCAATCCCAAACTGTCACCGGTGACCGCTCTTCACTAGTTAGTGGTTAATAATGTAGTTACATTATAGACCTTATTTCCGATGTTGAGAGACTAGTTTTGTATGAACAAATTTGAGTATGAGGGTATGATATTTCATTAGGTTAAGTTAGACGGACCGTCAAAGTATGAATCTAAAGTATAGAAGCCATACCACAGTTCCTGCAGTGGTGCCGGCGGCGGAAGGCGGTGAAGTGCGCGGCGCAGCGCATGCAGGCCGGCGCCGCGATGTCCGGCACCCACTCCGGCAGGCGCTCCGGGCCCGCGCTCTCTCTGGCGGGGACGTTAGTATTCATATTTGTTTGTTCAATACTATCGCCACTTGAGCACACTCTACTCAGGCGTCTTCACTTCAAGTGCTCGCCTGAGTATGCCCAAGCGAATATAATATAAGGTTATAGAGTACCAGATTCGATAGCTAAAGAAAAAATTTATCCTATATAAAAAGGCCCTGCCTACTCCTTCGGGGATAAAATAATTAAGTGCACATTACGGCACTTAATGTCACTGTACAATGTAACACCGACTTTTCACTATTTATGTTATGAGTCCCATGTAATAGGGGGTGAGCCTATTGCCATATACCGGGCACAATTCCAGACTCCGTGCGACTACTGCGATTTAAAAAAAAACAGTTATACTCTGCCCGACCCGGGAATCGAACCCAAGACCCCATGCCCGGCAGTCTCACTTGCGGCCACTCGGCCAACGGGGCAGAAAAAAAATGTACACGAAAGCGGAATTTTTATTTCTTTACAAGTCCATCTTCTGAAATTGCCACATAGAAGTAGATAGAAAAAAAACTAAGCGATGGAGCGATTTAAAGGTTAGACATTAACAGATTTATTAGAAGCTAATGCGACTTGAGATCCGCTTCATCACCTATCGCAGAAGTTTGCGGTATCTTGTCATTGATCAAAATTCTATGACAAAAATAAACTTAAAATATAATCATACCTGTAAGTAAGATCTCCAGTAGACACCGAAGCCTGCAGGTTCCCGGTAGTATCCAGCGACTTGTGGCGCGTAGAGGGCGCGGCGGGCGCGGGCGCGGCAGGTCGCGCGCCGCCGTCCGACGTGGAGTCCGACGTACTGTCCGCGTACACTTCCTCTGCAGAGTACACGCTGTCGAATGAGCTGCCTGCGATCGTGATATATGGGTTTTAGGTACAAATTTTCTATTTTTAAACAAAGTAAGTCTCTTTAAAGATAGAAGAAGTTTTTCTACGGGTAAGATGTTATTCTTCGATTGCAAAGTTCGTATCGAGTAGGATCCGAAAATACTGAACCCGGTTCTAATATCTTTTATAATAACAATGGTGTAGAGAGAGCTTTTTTTATATTGCCTGTAACATCATTACGCTAGTCAGTTGTGCGTCCCATCTATACACATTACATTCTATTACATTACCTGACTGAATACTATTATTTCTTACAAAAGATTGCCTGGGTTAATTGGGATGATTACATTAACAGTTAAAAATATAATTAGTCCGTAAGTTAGGTAATGAAAAAATATTAGACACGTATTTTTGTATTTTGTCGTAAACAAAACAATACTTAGATAAAACGAATCAAAGTTTTGGAGTGGGGGCTAAAACGTCATTTCTACGTATAAAATGTACATAGAAGTAACGTCACGCGACATTTCAAATCAATATATCGTCGAAAGTATTCGTTTCTGTAAGAAAATAAAAAGTACGTGTCCAATGATTTAAAATACTCTACCAGACGGACATTAAAATAAAAAATTGGCATCTACACTATTGTATAAAAATGCACATCTAAACACTTCAACTTTAAGGAAACTGAAGCCAGTATTTATAGTGGATCCCAATTTAATCAGAACGAATCATTGAATTGGAGGATATTTTTAATAGTTTACTTGATCAAATGTTTTCAACTTACCATTCTGTATAACCTGGTCCTCAGTTGCTTCATACTCAATAGCAGGAGTCTTCTCCTCGACCGGTTCAGGTGGGTCAGGCGACTGGTTCATTAAGAACACAGATTTCAATATATTGCGCAGATCCGCCGCAAAGTTTGTTTGTAATTGGTCCGCTACACCGGCGATGCATACGAACAGACGGTGGATTAGGTCTTCGCTTGATCTGGAAGTAGAAGTGTTTTTTTGTTAGCAGTTTTTCATTCATAGGGTATTTTGCTAGATATATTTTTACTAGTGATGAATTCGTTTCAAGTTATTACTACTGTGACGGATGAACTCAGGATTTTAATTGATAGAAACGCTTATAGTCAAAATAACAGTTGCTTATAGCAATTCATGCACTCGAAACTAATCATTTTTCACAGCAAATCACAATAAATACATAAATATGTATTACAAAATTCAGTATGTATTATACTTACTTGAACTTCCCCCGTGCATGTTGTCTGGCCGCTAGTTCCTGCGCCTGCAGAGCGAGCGCTATTTGTTCGTCGTCTGCACATTCTGACGCGCCGCATGACGTGCCACTGGAAATAAGGAAGTCATTATTATAAAAATTGTAACATTATTGAAATGTAAAGTAAATAAACTAGGTCTAGCTATTTTATTTCAAAATTTTAATCTCAGATATTGGCAAATCATAATTTTTTGTTTTTAAAAGCTTCTTTTTTAAAATTAGTACTAACAGCTTTAATACGATAGTTGACAGGTAGTAAAATTCAATACTTTTATTAAAATGTCAAAAACGATACTTTTCTATGAATTTTGTATTAGATCGCAACTTATGACGTCATCATATTTTTGCGTCAAATAGCATACTTATTGGCTTAAAATTAGCGAAAAGAAATTCAAAAGTAGGTAAATTGTCAAATCAATGGTTGAGAGTACGATTATTTTTAAATTATTGCATTGAAAAGTTGAAACAATTTATTTTAAACTTAGGAAAGTACCCTATTATTAACTCGTCGAGTACCGGTTTTGTAGACACAATTATAGAACAGGTGTTTGACAGTTTAAACAAGAATTATGCTCACCTTTCATCAACAAAATGATCCAAATTCAATCTTAAAGGACTATTCTGGTTCTGTGTCGACCGGTTATCTAATATCACCATACCGGGCGACCAGATCTTACTCTTCTTCTTTTTACTCTTACTACTCGACTTTCTACTCTTCTTCGGTCGGGACTGGGACGGTCCCACGTCCGCGTTAGAACTACCATTATTGTCTTCGTCAACTAGCGAACTAATCTTCTTATCGGACTCTCTGTGTCTCCTCAATTCAGTGATAACTTCGTCGATAGTCCTGTATTCTTCTTCAGTAGCATTCGCTCCCCAGTCTTGCAACACTCGCCTCGCCTCGCTATTTACATTGGTCGCCTCGTTCAACCCTTCCTCGTCCGAACTTAACCTATTTATAACCTTATCCATTATGGTGGACGACGAGCCCGCCTCGTTCTTACTGCTGTCGTCTTCAACGTAATTAATATTTACAGTAACGTCGCTATTTACATCGGAAAAGGAACTTTCTAACGTGTTTTTGGTGTGTTTGTCGTCGTCTGCCTCGGCGTCCGGACTCTTTAGTACCCTGTTTTGTTGCATGAAGTGATTGTCTTTGATTTCCTTACTCTGGTCGGAGTCGGGCGATCTATCTAAACTAGTGTTCTCAGTACTGACGCCCGAGTCGACCGGCGACTCGTGTTCGCTCTCGTATCCTAGCATAAACTTAACTCGCTCGTCCTCTCTATCTAGCGTCATCTTAGCCGAATGGAAACTCGTGTTATCACCGTCCGCAGCGTCGTTATCAACTAAATTATTATACTCTTCATTTGTTAGTAGGAGCGAACTTAAATTAGCGTTAGCTATCGATATATTAGTATTTACAATGTCCGCGTCAATATTGTCAGGGATAATGAGCGGGAGATCAGAGTTCAGCATGGCTCCGTTCATATCGTTGCCGGATTCGTCTTCTTGATTAAAGACGGCTGAGTTATTGTGAGAGAGGGAAGATAGTACGGCGGGCTCGTGACTGATGGCGTTGGGAATAAGATACCCGTGACTCGTTGAAGGCAAACAGCTTAATTGTTCGTTTCTAGGTCCGGAGAAGCCGTAAGCTTCGGAATCGTCAGTCGATATGAGTGTGGGGACGTCGTTTGTGGAGAAGGAGTGCATTTGATTGTGGTCGAGTATGTCGACGTCGCTGGTGGCTATAGAGGAAAGTCTATCAGCGATCTCAGTGACCTGGTCATTTAAAGAGGTGACGAGATCATGGTCTGGCACGGGGCGTGTTTCAGGGGCGGCGTGGATGACCAGGGGATCGAACATCATGAGCCCGCTGGTGGAGAGATTTCTTAGTGAGGAGAGCTCACTGGGCTCCGTTTTGCTGGTTTTCCTAGTTCTATCGATGTAGTCCTTGCTATCGTTGGTGTGGAATGTGTCAGTGCTAGTGGTGTCTGAGTACAGTCTGGTGTGACTCTCGTGTTCTGATTCATGTCCCGTAGTGTCGGCCGTGCCTTCACTGAGCCGACGTAGTCCGTCTATGATTGGAGTCATCACTTCTATGTTGTCTGGGAGGTAATCTCCGTCAGCTATCGGATCACTTGAGCTGAGGATAAGAATACCAATGTTATATTTACCAACTATTAATAATATCACAATACATAAAGATAATAACATAAGGTTTCTTTACTTTGTTTTCTTTCTTTGAGTAAATTAGTAATAGGTTGATTAATCAACAAAATTATCATAAAAGTTAATTCCGAATTCAAATTTAACATAATGCCAATAAATGTGCCTGTTGTGACATGTGATTTATAATGTATCTACTGAAAAATAAGGTTTACAAGTGGGTCTTGCACATTATAATATAACAGTCACTTGCGAAGGGCTAGACAGAAACAGAACATGTGGCCTTCATAATAAAGGAATCCAAATTATAATCACATAGTATAAAACAAAGTCGCTATCCGCCGTCTGTCTGTTTCTATGTATACTTAGATGTTTACAACTACGCAACGGATTTTGATGCGGTTTTTTTTTGCATAGATACATATTCTTAAGGAAGGGTTTATATGTAAAATACATGCATATTGCACCCGGGCGAAGCCGGAGCGGGTCGCTAGTGTAATGTAAAATAAAAGAGTTATTTAAATGAAATACCTTGGCTGTGAGTATAAGTCTCTGCAGTTGGCGTGGTCTGCGTAGAACCTCGACACAAACTCTCCGAGGTCTGGGTACGGACATGACCAGTCGTTTGATGTTTCTGGATCTGAGGATATAAATCAGGTTTGTTTTAGTTATAAATATGTATTTTCATTATTTTCTATATAAATTGGCGTGTTCTATTTTTCAGATAAAACAAAAACACATTAGGAACTTACAGAATTCTACTTGCAGTTAGCGTAAAGAAAAGACTATTTTTTCACTCATTAATATAATTTTCCGTGTCACGGCAGCGCTTACAGACGCAACATTTACATGCACGACAGACTTAAACCCACCACCCAACAATAGATAACAATATACTAGGATACAGCTTCGGGAAATAACATACACTAGTTAAGCTTACGTCAGTCGAAGTATAACATCCAAAATCTCCCGAAATTTTCCCCCCTTAAAAAAAGACGCCCAGTCTTTTTTTTAAGGGGGGAAAATCATCGAATGACTGCTCCTGTCTGATTGAGGCGAGATCCGAGTGTCAGACTCTTACTGACTAAAAACCACCCCGTTCCTTTTCCTGCACGTCGAGCCGGAGCCCCGGTTACCCGTTAGGTTCTCCGCGACAAGCCCCAGGTCAACGTTAATGTTACTCACCGGCGGGCAAGTCCAACGCGGCGAGATTGGAGATGTCCTCGTTGGTACAGAGCAGTCGCTCGAGCGCCAGCAGCTCGCGCCGGTCCAACGTCCACAGCAGCGAGCGGATCTTGTGCAGCAGCGTGCGGAACGGACGGAACATGTCCGACATCTCCTCTGTACGGGGGAATGAAATACTGATTAGTCACTGGGTACACTTGGTCTACAGGTTCGCGTATGTAATATGTTGCAGTCAACTAGCTTGATTTGCCGTTTTGAGAGTGGGAGAGCCATGCTTTGGCACGAATGGGTCGGCTCGACCGGAGTGATACCACGGCCTCACAGAAAACCGACATAAAGCAACGCTTGCGTTGTATTTCGTCGTATGAGTGAGGTTAACGGAGGCCCAATTATCGGGTCTTCCCTATCTCCCCAACGATCCTTAACTCTTAATCCCCAAAAGGCCGATAACGCATTTGTACCTCTAGTGTTCCAGGTGTCCATGGGTGACGCCGATTGCTTACCATCAGGATCACCTGACGAGCAGACGGATCACCGTCTGCTCGTTTACCGGCTTACGCCATAAAACAATATAGGGATGATGACGGGGTATCAATATTAAAAATCCATTTAGTCCGTCAGGTTGGTATTAAAAAATATTAGACACGTATTTTTTTTATTTGGTCATATACGAAAACAATACAAATAGTGGACTGAAAGATTTATATTTCGCTTACCTGGTGGCTTGTCTATACTGAGAGGTCCGCTGGAGTATATGAGCAGTCCGCTGACTATGGCCAGTCGCGGCACAGCGAACATCAACGCAGGGTCGTACGAGTCCACCTGTAAGATTCATTCAGTTTCTATTAGTTTACACGCATTTATACCTCAGGGTATACAGAGATGTTGAAGAACTTATGTATTTAATTCGGCACGGCACTCCAGGCAACTCTTAAAAGTAGGAGAATATAGTTTTTGTGGTCACAAGTGCAGCTTGTCCAATGGCTGTAGAATCGCTCTTAATCGCTATCAAGTTTCTTTTATTTTTAGAATTTTAAGGTCTGTTTCACAATATCTGGATAGCCGTTATCTACCAGATAAATTTGAATTAAGAACGTAATTTGTATGAACTCTCTGTCACATAAGTTTTTCAGGAGGTAGTGAAACCGCGCTTAGAATAATAAATTAATGGGAAGACGGGATTACATTAGATCAGAATAAACTATCTGTTGATGATAAATCAGTACCTGTTCCTGTGTGAGCAAATTCTGTTTGAGCGCTCGCCGTAAGCTCTCAGAGAATAGAACGCAAATCAATTGCTGTGCTTCGAACTCGTGCGGCGTCTTCACGTTCACCATAGCGCTGACGTAGCATAGCTCGAACTCCGCGAACAATCTGGAAATTGCAAGTAAGGTTATGAATGTGGTGTCTTTGAAGAACTCATATATATCTTTTGTAAAATTCACTACAGAAGTGCTACTTATTGTTTAAATTTTCTAATTCTTCTGGTAATGCAATAGATATTCTGTTATAAGAGCAGTCTTTTAGTGATAAAACAATTAAATGTGTGCAAAACCATTTAGTAGTTATTGTAAATCTCTTACAATTTTCCAAAACAAGATACTAAGAACACAACGACAACTATACGTTTTCGTCCACGCTTAAAGCACCTATTATTCTTCATTTAATAAAATGTTAAACTTGTAAAAATCGAAGCATAACTAAAGGACAGGAAAGTAGCAAGAACAGACTGTTACCAAACAATGTATAACTGTCAACACATAAAACAATGGCCTCACCTGTCAAATATCCTCAAGCTCTCGTGCAGCATATCATCATGTTGCGACAAGGCCATGCCTCGCGGTCTGAGACACTGTTCCCGGAGTAATGACCGAACAGTCTCCAAACTCCGAGTGAGGGCCTTGGCCAGCGGACGCATCGCCGCTGATTCTTCCTCGCGATTCATTATCGAGGAGCCGGCGGCTAGGCACTGGAATTAAGAAAAAGAAAATGTTTAGCCCACGAAGATGTATAAGTTGTCTTTTAACTACATATTACGAGCTACTCACGTAAATATACGAAAAGTCTACTGGTTGTCTTTTATTGTAATATAAGTTTAAAGCTCGATTTTATGTTATTTATTTATTTTCAGCCATGATCGTCCCACTGCAGGGCAAAGGCCTCCCTACCCTCCTTCCACTCCTCTCCATGTAAAGCTTTTTGTGGTAATTTAATTATTAGTTATTTAATCTTATGGAGTTTCTCAAAAACAGAGATCGATTCAGAGATGTTGGTATAATATTGGTTAGTAATTTCAGTCATTAAACTGTGATTTCCAACCCAGATAATTATAGCAATTTATTTATGTTTATTTAATTTATGTAATCAAGTCAAAAAATTAAGACTTGGTGTTTCCTAGACGCAGACGCAAATCTTGTACATACACAAGGAAAAGTATGTACTGTACACCTTGGTACATACTTCGATCCTTGTAATAAAGGGAATTCCCGAGTACGACCTGAATACTTGTAATAAAATGTTAAATTAATAGGCATATATTATTAGACATCGTAGAACTACTAAGAAATCCCGAGAAACGTCTATAAATTGTGTGTTTTAATGTACTTTTACGTGTACCGTGCAGAGCAATAGTGTCCGTAATTACATAACATAACATAACATCACGCCTTTTATCCCTGAAGGGGTAGGCAGAGGTGCACATTATGCCACTGTACAATGTTACAACACCCTCTTTTCATGTGAATTACTGAGATTAAAAAAAAACCCAGTAATACTTTGCCCGACCCGGGAATCGAACCCGACACCTCTTGTGCGGCAGTCGCACTTGCGACCCCTAGGCCAACGAGGCAGTCCATAATTATAAATAAGATTATCCATTGTACCATTGGTAATATATAAGAAAGTAAAATAGATGACCAAAGGTCATAGACATTCTAGAAATAAGAAAGTATGTGTTTTCTTATCTTATCTATATGTATTTTCTTTTTTTTTAAGGGGGAAAAATCATCGAATGACTGCTCCCGCCTGGGTGAGGCTCCCGCCTCACCCAGGCGGAGTGTCAGACTCTTACTGACTAAAAACCACCCCGTTCCTTCTCCTGCACGTCGAGCCGGAGCCCCGGTAACTCGTTAGGTTCTCCGCGACAGAATATGTATATGTATATGTATAGGTACTGGTTCAAAGGAGGCACATAGAATCTTTACACATAGTACCTACATATTACAATGTATGATTATAAAAGTAAGTACCTATGTAAGCCAACTTCGCGTTCGCCAGTTTTAATCAAATATTATGTAAAATATAAGAACTGCGTGTTTGCATACCTAAGCCTATTCGTTCATAGGTTGCGTGACTCACATTTTAATTGCCCTTACACACCTAACGCCGCCATTCTCTAGAACGTACAGCTGCACATCGAGCAAGGCAAAACTAATATACACTGACCGTTGAACACGCAGAAAGATCATACAAAGCAAGACCAAGATATACTGGTTTTGTATAGGTTGACGAGCAGCCTTGTACAAATCGGATGGACATAAGGTTGTGCGGACTTGCGCGTTCCAGTCGATGTGTTATCAATGTTATGGCTAAGTATACAATGACCATTGCAAAGCCCAACATATTACGTGTGTTTTGTCTAAAGCCAAAGGCTAAAACACCTATGGACAAATAGAATATACCTCCCTTGTGATCTCTATTCTCAGGTTAATTTTATCAAAATCTGTTCAATAGCCGTTCTACCATAGTCGTTTTATATATTTTTTTTTTATTTATATCTACTTTAATTTTTGTTATTTTCCTTTAATTAAGTCATTTATAGATCTAGAAACTATTATTCTTAAGAGTGTTAAATAAATAAAGAAAGGATCGAGTCAGGCCCAACACAAGTATTGTATAATAACTTACTGGGACTGCCTCAATGTTAGATAGATATTGTAATTCTTAAGATAATAAAGAACTTTGATTTTTTTTTAATTTTGAGCCTAACCACATGACACACACATACATACAAATAAACGAACAGACTCGTACTCGTACGTGCTTCATCGTAGACCGCATCATCGTTTACCATTAGGCGAGGTAGTGGTCAAACGTCGGCCTATCAAATATAAAAAAACACTCAATTTCGTATTTTTTGTATGATCCAATAATATCATACAATTATATTCGACGCGGCGACTGTCGCGCTGCTACTGTCGTCGAAATGCTGCTCATGAATATGAGCCTCTAGTATGGCTTGAAACTAGTCGAGTTCCTCGTCAAATAATTACGTGAGTAAGCCGAAAACATAATAAAATATCATACAAGTAAATTAAACTAAATAATAACCTTGGGAAGAATATATAGCTTCGTTCTAAAAGCTAAGCACTGGTCGTTAACCACAAAACATTTTTCAATAGTATGTTTATACAATTGTAATCGATATTTACATAGAGGCGCGATTATGGTTTATGTGTGTATTGTTTTAACGACTAATTTGGCTAAATGACATGCCTATAGAAGTTTGACCTGCAATTTAGGTAGCTTAAGGTCGACGAGCTAAATGTATTAAGTATTTACTTCTTTTATGTTTTTGTAGCACTCTGTACTAATCCGACAGTGACGAATCACTTACGCCCTTAATGTCTTTTTTGAGTTCAAGCTTAATGGGGAAAATGTCCTGAAATTACTATTTCACTACCACGATGTTTAAATAAAACATGGAAGTAAGTTACAATCTTATACTATTATATTAAACTGATGAGTTTGTTTGATTGAACGCGCTATCTCTAAAACTACGGGTCCGATATGAATAATTATTTTTGTGTTGGATAGTCCATTTATCAAGAAAGGTTATAAGCTAAAACATCACGCTACGAACAATACGAGCCAAGTGAAACCGCGCAGAATTTCCCCAAGTGTGTATTACAGAGATACCTAAATTAGGCCTATATCCAGTAGTTAAAGACAGATGATATAAGTATTGTGATTCTCACCTCAGCACCGAACCAGAGCTGCCCCGCCAAGTTGTCTTGCAGCACATCCTCAGGAAACTTAACCCTGAAGCCGCGCGCCACTCGCTCGTCACCCAGCAGCTGGTCCATTATCTGACTTGTGATGTTCAGCACGCGGTCCTGTGAACAAATAAATAAATATGTTTAGTCAAAATCTTTTAAGAGTAAACCAGAAACTCCTTGTTTCTGGCTGATTTACTCGTTAAAGGCACTCGATGCGAATCCCATAAGTATGCAATAGAGTAGAAATTCCGAGTGAAAAGGTTGCTTATGGGAATAAGCCAGCTCCGTCGTAGGCGTGTCGTCATCACTAAACCTAAGCTCCGGAACAATTAGGGCGGACAATACATGTAGATATGGATTGGGTGAAGCCACATTCCATAATTCAGGTAACATTTCTAGATAACATAATGTACGGGAAAGACAAAGATATTATGCAATACCCATTTTTGACTAGTCATGAAAATGAATTTTGAAAATTTAAAATCTCCAAAGCGCTAAAATAGGTATTTCCAGAAATCAATCAAAGAGTAGCTCGGCATACGACCCTTCGAGTAACGAAGCTGAAACACTTCTAGATTAAATATTTAAAAGCAAAGAAACAAATCAGACTGGATCTAAAATTGAGAAGGTATTTCAAGAGTCTAGCTCATTAGACGGCTGAACGAACAGCAATTTCATTGAAACGTAAAGGTTAAAGAGAATACAATAGAGATGTTTATGTATTTAAGGACAATATGAACAAAATAAGATAACACAATTTGAACATTATTGTTTGGCTCTCAACAAAATTGCTGTAAGCAAAAACCTAAATGAAAGTTGGTAAGATAGTTATTGATGTGCAATGGAACATAAGGCAGGAAAGTAATATTCTCGAAAGTACGTCAATCGTTTACTTCTGGGAAAATCAACAACGTGTATCCAAAAACGAGTTATCACGAAAGAAGATAATAAGGAAAGTGCAAATTGTGAATCACGTGAATCACAAAAATCACCGGACCAACTTGTGTCTAGGGCCTAGTGCAATCTTGACAAGCAGAAAATTTACATTTATAAAAATATTTGTTAGAATTTCGTCGCAAAACTATTAAACAGATTTGCATAAAATTTTACATAAGATAAGGGCTATGACACAACATCCTAAAAAGTCCTTAATGAAAAATCAACGATCACGATACTATGAGCGATCTTATTAAAACAGACTAAAAAAAAAAACCCACGTTTTAGCACTACATTTTGAAAGCAAAATTTATAGTTAGTACTTAAATTAATTCAACTGCTAAGGTTAAGGTGGGTGGTACACAAGCGGGTGGCGGGTTAACAACCCATCAGCCGGTGTGCACGCGACATTAGCAAGGATAGGGCATCGGCATAAAGGTCAAACGCTAATGCCGAGCACACGTGTACTCTGTGGTTTAGAAGTTTGTTTGTGAAAATAGGGAGGAACATTAATAGCACAGTATTTTGTGTTAGTTTTGCTAGTAGATTAAAATATTTAATAAGAGTCGTACAAAACTACGGCACTGTCTTTCTGCATTGGGTGCCAAAATGGACTGCGTTAAGCGCTGCGACGGTGCATTAAGTTTTATTCTTTGACTTTTAAAAAACAAGATTTAAAATATTTTTTCTTCTTATTCCCGTAGAGGTAGGCAGAGATATATACAATGTAAAACCCACTTCTCACCAGTTATGTTACGTATATACATAGGTACGAGTCTCATAATTTGTATTTCTTGTTGTTATAATATGCTCATGTTGTGTTTATGTGCAGTCAGTTTTTAATGAGCTCATATCACGGGATCTAAGCTCGATCTAATTAAATAGCTATTATGCCATTTATTTTATGTGTGTAAAGCAATTATCAGGTAATAAATTATAACCTCCATCTGTAACATGTTATGATGGTAACTAACGCAATACTCTAGGAAATGAGACCAGGAAAATAGAACAAAGAATATTATAAGTAAGGAACTGTAATTAATATTGCTGTACAGACAGACATGGCTTAGTCATAGTCACACAATCACGTGCTTCGTGAACCAAATCATGTCCTATCCGGTGCTAAAATGGATTAGTAACACATTATACTTAAAACTAGCAGAGTACCTATAACTAAAGTATAGTCGACCGCACGGTTGCCGTAGTGTATTTGTGTGCCTACTACTCAAATCTATCCTAAAAAGATAATGTAGATATTTAATTTATGTCAGGGATACAAAGTCCTTTTTAAAATTTGGAACGGACCCGGGACCGAGGAATGTTATTAAAAGCTGAGTATATTCTTAAACTATGATTAGTTATTGCGTGACAGCTGATAGGCAGCAGCTCTCAAGAAATTTTTGGCAAACTAACTTGGGTAGCTTATGAAAAGGATTGGCCACAGAAAGCTATAAGAAGAGACGAGTGGAAAGAGGGTAGGGAGGCGTTTGCCAAGCAGTGGGATAACCATGGCTAAAATAAAATAAATATAAATAATAAAATCGGATCCCCGATCCTCATTCCAACCGTGAGGATTATGGAAAACCGAGAGTTAGGAAGGCTTGTATACCGATGCACATCTTTCGGTTGATGATACTAGAGGCGTGTTTGTGACTGCAATCAGTGCGAACCACGGTCCACGAAAGAAAAAGATCTCGTTAATTACCGTAGTATAGCTATGAATCCGAGTATGTCCTAAAACTGTGACTGGCCACAGACATTTAGGAGTTCATTGGAAGCACTTAAAAGGAAGTCCTAAATGCTGAACGGTAACTACAAAGGTAATATGTATACACACGTAGCATTATTTACTCATAATTACATAGATAACAACAATGTGTACCGAGCACACATAGCCTATGTTTGGTATGCAGGCAACATAATTATGATAATGCATACATATGCACTATGCATTAACAAGGTGATTCCTATTGTTCCGTGATTATAACTGTTGCCAGAACTATGAAGTAGGAAGTGGTTTATGTTCTAAACTACTTTCAATATCCTTCCATGTGTAATTTCCTTTATTTTAGTTGTAGACTATAGGCGACGATATCCACACCTCAACTGCAGTATAAAATGGTTAAAAGCAAATCGTCAATTCATGTAGGTCACGATGATTTACATACTGATCCAAGTATCCCAGAACCGGATCAATTGGCGTTAAATAGTACCTGTTTTTTTGAGGGGGAATAGTCGTCGAATAACTTTTCTCGCCTTAGGGTGAGTGAAACAGGTACCTTTCCCGCCTTTTATTGACTAAATCTCCTTTTACTCCTGCTTCGAACCGGGGCTCCGGTAACCCGCAGCTTCTGTCAATAATACTGTCTAGGCTCAATGCCATTTGAGAAAAAATCTGATGGTGAACATAATTCACCTTTAGGTTTAATTCATTCTGTCTGCAGTAATTCACCGAGGGAAATGGAAACTATCGTTTTTATTTCTTCTCCTCTTATAATATCTTCTGATTGACTTCGTTGCGGGAACCAAGACTCATGTCCCTGGACTTTAGTGTTCCGGTGTTTTCATGGTTGTATCTACTGTAGATCCTGACTAAAATGTTCACCTTCACGGATAAAAAGACGCAATTTTATGTCATACGCTTGCACATAAGACAACTAATTAAGATAAAGCATACTTTGTTTCATAAGACGGCAGAGACTCGGTCAATCAACATCATTTTGTCGACTATACAAACATGACACATGCACTGTAATTAGTGGCTAGAACACACGTGCTCAGCCCGTATCAGCTGTACTGATTACCAGTACAGTTGTTTTTGTTTCTAATATGTCATTTATCATATAGAGGTAAGTTTTTTTTTCAACAACCTTAAATATTGTATGAAAGTCATCGTTGTTGTACGCTAAGGGCATTTTAATGTGAAGCCACAAAATCGTGTATGGATATCGGCAGCACCGAAATTAGGTAGGACATTACACCTACACCTTGACATAATTTACGGTTAGTAAGAGAATGGTGTAATTGTTTAATTCTAAAGACGGACAGATTTTTACCAAAGAGACAAAAAAGCCAAGTCATTCATATTATGACAAGAACAATAATATTGTGATGACAAACGACATATCTAAACACAAACATGGTCGAGATAAAATGAGGCTAAATGATCTGTTTTATTGACGCACTAAATAGGTAATCTTTGGAAGATTTTTTCAAACCTTTCCGATACGGTTTATCTCTTGTGTGTTTTTGGAATATTTCCTTGCACATTTGCACTTTAATGACGGAAGAATGCTATAATATGACGCCATAAGATTACAGGAAACAAAGAGAGAAATTTTGTATCTAGCTCTCTCAAATACTCGCAACGAACTTGCAACTTCCCTTGTATGGGCCCAATGAGGAGCGCTGGAGATTTAAGATCAGACAACCTGGTTCTGGTCTGATCGTTTGCGTCCTAACCCATAAAAATCCGCAGGTTAACACCAAACAGCTAAAATATAAGACTTCGTTAAATTATTTAGTGAACATCGTGTAGATGGCGAGGCAAGTGAGCGTTCCAGTTTATAAGTGCCACAAATCACGCGAGTGTAACTTCATTTGGCCGCTCCATTCGTGATCTAACCGCAGTTTCTAATAGATTCGTGTTAATTTTATAGTATTGTGGAATTGGAATCTAGTGTTAGAATTTATAGTTAACGTTGATGTTTTACGAGTTGGAACTAGATGGTTTCTGATTTGAGTAGATATTGAGCCATTGTTTTGGGAATGATCGTGAAATACCAATCTTTAATCTACCTCCTGTTGAGGTTCTGGCAAAGGGTAAACCTTCTTAAACTGTCAAACACCAAGCGGTCACCGGTGACCGCAACCTATTGTTCTTTAATTGTGTCTATATTGACGGTGCTCGACGAGTTAATTTATGTATAAGCGACCTATATAATGAAGTCAAGTAGTTACCAAAGTATTTTACAGGCTAATGATCCAGTGTTCTTTCTATTTAATATTTTAGAGCCATAATGAGATACATAGTCATATTTGACTTGATATTTATTCCTTAATTGAAATAACAAGTTTTAATGCCCGGAAATTTTTGTACACGCACACAATCATAAATACAGTATACAAACAGATGTAAACAAGGTAATTAGCAGGCTAGGCGACACTACTAAATGCTCGTA